ACAGTTCATCAGGGTCTGGGGATTTGTTAGGTTTTAATTTCTCTATTTGTCTGAGGACCATGTCACTAGTGTATTTTCGTCCTATTCTACATAATTTATTATTTTTGGAATTTCGCTAGTATCTTCCTGAGTAAAAACTGAGAGGAAGTAAGTGTTGAAAAGTTCACACATTTCCTTATCACTGTCAGTGATTTGACCTGAGTTACTCTTAAGTGAGCCTATTGTGTGCCTAATCTTACTTCTGTATACCTGAAAGCCTGAAAGAGCTGTTTTCGGTTAGTCTTTGAATCCCTTGCTACCATAACCTCATAATCCCTTTTTGCTTTTATTTCCTTTTTTCTCTCTTTAATTGAATATATTGATTTCTTAACTGCCCATCACCTCTTTTGATACGTCTATATATGCCTCTAAATAACAAAAAGGCACAATACCGTGACTGGAACGATATACAAATAACCCGCACATAAAAGAGAGAAGCTTACGACGACGTTTCGGTCCGACTTGGCCCATTGACAAAGTGACTTTGTCAATGGTCCAAGTCGGACCGAAACGTCGTCGTAAGCTTTTCTCTTTTATGTGCGGGTTATTTGTGTATATATGCCTCTCTTTTGACCAATGAGATGTCTTAATCTATTGTTTATCCATTTGGAATCATTATTGTTAGATCTAATTCCCCTACTTGGGACAAAAGTTGTCTGGGAAGCTATAACTACGCTGTATTATATTTATGTTGGGTGCTTATGAGTGACCATGTGATGGATGATCATGAGTGAGCAAGGTATGTCGGGTACTCAAGGAACAGTATTTTATGAGGTTTGAGGAGTGAGCTTAATTTGTTGGGGTCCTTGAGTGAGCCTGATTCGTTCATGATTCATATTTAAGCTGCAACATATGTTCAAGCACATCTTCATGTTTGAGGATATGCTTGAATATATGTTGTAGCCTCATAAGTCAACATAATTTGTTGGGTCCCATGATTGAGTTAAACACGTTCAGGGCCAATGAGCGGGCATAATGTTAGGGTCATAAATGAGCAAGTGTTGGTGGCCCCATGAATAAGCATAACATGTTAGTTACTCATGATGGAGCATAATGTGTTGGAGGAGCTCATTTTTATTATTATTATTAACACGTCGGCAGATTCCCACCAAGGTAGGGTGGCCTGAAAAGGAAAAAGTTTCATTATTCACTCCATCACTGTCTTGCCAGAAGCGTGCTTACACTAGTTATAAAACTGCAACATTAATACCTTTCCTTCAGAGTGCAGACCGGTAGGCCGGACTCAAGTCCGGTCTACCAGTTTCTCTGAATCCCTTCATAAATGTTACCTTGGTCACACTCCAACAGCACGTCAAGTCCTAAAAAGTATTTTTCTAAATTCACTCCTATTTAACACGCCCACGCATGATTGCTGGAAGTTCAAGCCCTTCGCATACAAAACCTCCTTTACCCCCCTCCCTCCAACCTTTCCTTGGCCGACCCCTACTCCCTTCCCTCCATACAGATTGTAACACTCTTGAAGCCATTCTATTTCGCTCCAGCCTCTTTACATGTCCGAACCATCTCAGTAACCTCTCCTGAGCCCTCTGGATAATAGGTTTTGTAAGTCTGTACCTCTTCCTATTCTCCAAACTACGGATTCTCTGCATTATACTCACACCACACGTTGCCCTGAGGCATGACATCTCCACTGCCTCCGGTCTTCTCCATGTTGCAACATTCACCACCCATGCTTCACAGTCATACTAGTTGGTATAACAATACTCTCATACATTCCCTTCTTTTCTTCTATGGATAAAGTTCTTTGTCTCCACAGACTCCTCAGTGCACCACTCACCTTTTTCCCCTCGTCAGTTCTGTGATTCACCTCATCTTTGATAGACATATCTGCTGACACGTCCACTCCCAAATATCTAGAAAAAAACTCCTCCATACTCTCTCCCTCCAATCTGATATCCAATCTTTCGTTACCTATTTTTTCGTTATCCTCATCACCTTACTCTTTCATATTTTCACTTTTAATTTTCTTCTTTTACATGCCCTACCAAACTCATCCACCAACCTCTGCAACTTCTCTTCAGAATCTCCCAAAAGCACAGCGTTATCAGCAAAGAGCAACTGTAACACCTCCCACTTCGTGTTAGATTTTTTTTTCTTTTTACCCCCACACCTTTTGCCAATACCCGAGCATTCACTTCTCTTATAACTCTATTTATAAATATATTGAACAACCATGGTGACATCACACATCCCTGTCTAAGACCTACTTTTACTGGGATAATAATCTCCCTCTCTCCCTCTAACCAGAGCCTCACTATCCTCGTAAAAACTCTTCACCGCTTGCAATAACCTACCTCCTATTCCATACATTTGCAACATCTGCCACATTACCTCCCCTATCCACCCTATCATACACGTTTTACAAATCAATAAATGCCACAAAAACCTGTTTACCGTTATCGGGGGCATGGGCAACGGCAACGACCGTCATCTAAATACTGTTCACCTATATGTTTCACAGTAAACACTTGGTCTACACACCCCCTAACTTTCCTAAAGCCTCCTTGTTCATCTGCTCTCCTACTCTCCGTCTTATTAAACACTTTATCAGGTATAATATGAGCGAGAATAATATGTTGGTATAGCTCATGAATGAGCATTATGTGTTGGTATATCTTATGAGTGAGCATAATGGGTTGTAGTCCACGAATGAACGTTATGTGTTGGTGTAGCCTATTAATGAGCATATTGTGCAATATCCCAAGAATGAACATAATTTGTTGGTGTATCCTATGAATAAGCATAATGTTCAATATCCCTTGAACGAGCATATGTTGTAACCCATGAATGAGCGTAATGTGTAGTAGCCCATGAATGAACATAATGTATTCGACTAGCCTATAAAGGAGCATAATGTGTTGTTGTCTATGAATGAGTATAATGATTTAGTTTAGCTCATGAATGAGCATAATGTGTTGATGTAGCCCATGAATGAGCATAATGTGATGGAGTAGGCAATGAACGAGCATAATGTCCTGTGTTGCCCATGAATGAGCATAATGTGTTGGTGTAACCCATGGATGAACATAATGTGTTGACGTAGCCCATCTATGAGCATAATGTGATGGAGTAGCCAATGAACGATCGTTATGTGCTGTGTAGCCCATGAAAGAGCATAATGTGGTGATGTATCCCTTAAATGAGCATAATGTGTCGAAGTAGCCGGCGAGTGGTCGATATATCAACCTGGATTGTTTAAATTTCAAATAAACGTTTTATGAATCTTGAGGAATGTTTAGGCCTGGCCAATCTGTGAGAGTTTTAACGTGTATGAATGACCACTGCATTTATAATAATTTCTTACTGTGAGTCACCAACTTCCTGGTACATTATTCGTCCATGTAATGAAAATTCGTAATGAACGAATGTAGCAATCCAGTGGAACGTTCGTGTACTGCGGTACAGGCTGGTAATCTCAGCTTTCTCTGGCTTTCTGTGTAGTAATATGTCATTGATGTCAGCTAGGCCTGTATACCTTGTACATGTACTTATAGAAATAAAGATTATTATTGGTTCGTGACTTATTGAATTATACAAATAATTTCACCCTTAATATAATTTCACTCCCTCGTAGTATAATTTCACTCCCTCGTAATATAATTTCACTCCCTCGTAATATAATTTCACTCCCTCGTAATATAATTTCACTCCTCGTAATATAATTTCACTCCCTCGTAATATAATTCACTCCCTCGTAATATAATTTCACTCCCTCGTATATAATTTCACTCCCTCGTAGTATAATTTCACTCCCTCGTAATATAATTTCACTCCCTCGTAATATAATTTCACTCCCTCGTAATATAATTTCACTCCCTCGTAATATAATTTTACTCCCTCGTAATATAATTTCACTCCCTCGTAATATAATTTCACTCCCTCGTAATATAATTTCACTCCCTCGTAATATAATTTCACTCCCTCGTAATATAATTTCACTCCCTCGTAGTATAATTTCACTCCCTCGTAGTATAATTTCACTCCCTCGTAATATAATTTCACTCCCTCGTAATATAATTTCACTCCCTCGTAATATAATTTCACTCCCTCGTAATATAATTTCACTCCCTCGTAATATAATTTCACTCCCTCGTAATATAATTTTACTCCCTCGTAATATAATTTCACTCCCTCGTAATATATTTCACTCCCTCGTAATATAATTTCACCCCCTCGTAATAAATTTCACTCCCTCGTAATATAATTTCACTCCCTCGTAGTATAATTTCACTCCCTCGTAGTATAATTTCACTCCCTCGTAAATATAATTTCACTCCCTCGTAATATAATTTCACTCCCTCGTAGTATAATTTCACTCCCTCGTAATATAATTTCACTCCCTCGTAATATAATTTCACTCCCTCGTAATATAATTTCACTCCCTCGTAATATAATTTCACTCCCTCGTAATATAATTTCACTCCCTCGTAATATAATTTCACTCCCTCGTAATATAATTTCACTCCCTCGTAGTATAATTTCACTCCCTCGTAATATAATTTCACTCCCTCGTAATATAATTTCACTCCCTCGTAATATAATTTCACTCCCTCGTAATATAATTTCACTCCCTCGTAATATAATTTCACTCCCTGTAGTATAATTTCACTCCCTCGTAATATAATTTCACTCCCTCGTAATAATAAATTTCACTCCCTCGTAATATAATTTCACTCCCTCGTAATATAATTTCACTCCCTCGTAGTATAATTTCACTCCCTCGTAATATAATTTCACTCCCTCGTAATATAATTTCACTCCCTCGTAATATAATTTCACTCCCTCGTAATATAATTTCACTCCCTCTTAGCATAATCATGAACATCAATGTTAGCATATTCATGTAGCATCATGTGGACAATCATGTCAAAGACTCGCATTCAGACAAAAAATCAATCTTTTTAATAAAGTTTAGTAACGTTTAGTTATTCTCTCATCAGCCTCCCCGCCTGAGCTGGAGTACAAATTCATCAGCCAGACCATCACTCCTGGACCAAGTGTCTCTCTCAAGTGTATCGCATCAGGCACTCCCACTCCCACTATCTCGTGGGCACTGGACGGCTTTCCCCTCCCACAGAACGAGAGGTGAGTACATTGTTCTCATTCACAGAGTAAGAGAGTACACAACTTCCCTACCGTAGAGGAAAACGTGAGTACATTCTTTCTAATCACTGAGCAAGAGGAGAGTACACAGCTTCCCTTCCGCAGAGGAAGAGCTGAGTACAATATACGAATTTCAATTGTTGAAGAAATTGTGTAATTTCATCATTCGTGATGTACTATTTGATACATTGTAAAGGACTTTTTAAGCTTTGTATATGCAAAATAATGTTTTAATAATTATCGTGTCCCTAGTATATTGTGTTAGACTCCCCCAGGGGTAACTCCGCTATAAATTACAACAAAACTAAATGAACTTTAATAAGATCACCAGTGCTTCTAAATTATGGAAAATCTGAAGACAAAAAATGAAAAGCCAAATTAAGCAGATTATTTGTATACCTACATTATATTTATTAACGTATTTCAGCTCTGACACACGCAAGGGAGTCCTGTGATAAGGAATTTCTTTCCAATCATTTTTTAGAACTTCCAGTATATATTGATATTGTTTTTAGTTGGCAGAGGAAGTAGGAAATGTGTACCCATTTTTCCTCCTTAAACAGCATCATTTATGACATCGTTGGAAGAAATATTCTCGAAAGCAGCGCAACAGGAGTCTATTTCAATCCAACATGACTCACGAAATCGTAATGACACGATTGCAAACAAACCATACCCCGACTGGGATTGAACCTGCGACAGGCTGGAGTTTTGAGACTCTCTGACCGCGGGTTCAATCCCACCCGGGGTATGGTTTATTTCAATCCAGTTTTCAACTTCGGCATCTAGAAAGACATGCTTCGTCTCAGGTAGTGGAATGTGATCCTGTAACAAATCCTAAGTATTGAGACTTTCCCAGCTGGTCTGTTGGCGAGTAAATTGTTTGCAAGACCTCGTTTTCTCCCTCATATACGATTTCACTGAGGATTCGAAGAGGTAGGAAAGGTGTCTAGCTGTTACACAGCTCCACCGTAGACCAGAAATGACCGCATCAAGGTCAAGTATGGCCTTGTACACCAAGTCATTATAAAATCCGTTTATAGTCTTTGGACATTTGAACCAACATTGATTATGCACTAATTTGCATATAAGCATATTGATGACATTTATATCAACAAGAGCAATGTGGCCATCTAATTGCACCAGCCTATTTGAAAGTTAACTTATCGCCGTCAGTTCCGAGAAACATTGCACAAAACTCAGCTAACTCACGGTAATCACCAACCTCGGGTGTAAATTCCTCTCTGAAGTTACGACTTTTAATGTACTTTCTCTGTAGTCATGAACTAAGTTTTGTCAGCTTTCAGGGAAATCTTCAATCCTCAAATCTGTCAATGGTTGATGTAGAATAGTATCGTAATGTTCTGTGAACGTTGTTTGTAAGCTTTATCTTCGGTGTCTTGGATACTTTTATCCGTGGATCATTGAAGTCCTTGACAACCACTTCAGCCATATGATACCTACATGCTACGCAAGGAAGAACACTGTTCCGAGACTGCTGACTTAAAGCACAAACAGCCGTCATCTCACCGTTGTGTGTCGCAGATATATTAAAGACCACGTTAATAATGGAGTCGTTAAACTGCCAAGAGTGAAGTAACGATGTCACAGGGGCGGTTCAAGGGAAAGGGAACCAGGAGAGAGTCCATGACCCCTTCCCCTGGGTCATAATGAAAGACCATTACGAAACTGAATCCATTTGATTTACATTATTATTACCCGTTAAATTATTGCTGTTGCCATACAAAATAATATTTTCTCAGCTGGCTGTCACCTTCCTTCCCTCGACGCAAGTCGGGATGACCCACCCTCCTTCCCTTGGTTCAGGCCGGAATGACCCACCCTCCTTCCCTTGGTTCAGGCCGGGATGACCCACCCTCCTTCCCTTGGATCAGGCCGGGATGACCCACCCTCCTTCCCTTGGTTCAGGCCGGAATGACCCACCCTCCTTCCCTTGGTTCAGGCCGGGATGAACCACCCTCCTTCCCTTGGTTCAGGCCGGAATGACCCACCCTCCTTCCCTTGGTTCAGGCCGGGATGAACCACCCTCCTTCCCTTGGATCAGGCCGGAATGACCCACCCTCCTTCCCTTGGTTCAGGCCGGGATGAACCACCCTCCTTCCCTTGGTTCAGGCCAGGATGAACCACCCTCCTTCCCTTGGTTCAGGCCGGAATGACCCACCCTCCTTCCCTTGGTTCAGGCCGGGATGACCCACCCTCCTTCCCTTGGATCAGGCCGGAAATCCCCACCCTCCTTCCCTTGGTTCAGGCCGGGATGACCCACCCTCCTTCCCTTGGTTCAGGCCGGGATGACCCACCCTCCCGCATCCGACACTTCCTGGACCCGCCCAGGAAGTGTCCGATGGCTTATGTCTACTGTCTTACTAAGGTGGTAGCAATATGCAACCTCTTCATTTCACTCTTTCTTCCCACCAAGACGTTCCTCACTTTCCTTCGCATTCTACAATGGCTCCATAAAATTTGAGTCCAGATGCAACACGAGAGATTATGGAGCTAGCAGCAACTCACACCAATATTTCCGTGTCTTGTCGCACACTTCGGCTTACCTGCTGTAGCATAACAGACGGACTCTTTACTAGCGTTGCCTCCCGAGTCGTTGATAATGGTTGTAGTGAATGAAAGCAGCTTGTAAAACCTGTGTAATTCCCTTTCTTGTAGCAAGTGTAATAAGTCTTCATGATTTAAGGATATCGTGTGGTGTGAAAGCTTTTGTTCTCGTGTGGTTTATGCGCCTGTGACGCTCCTAACTCTTGGGAGTGGATTCACCTTTGGTTTATAAATGGCATCATCTTTGGTTTACAATTAGTTCTCGTGGTTTCTATTATCTTCAATTTCACTGGATAAAGCAATGAAATTTCTTTATCTTGACTAGAGCTTTCTCTCGTAATTTCTCAAGCTCCTCTTGAGTCTTCTTCCAGTAGGTCCTATCAACTAGCACTTTACTTACGTCATAGTTCTTCATTAATTGAATTTATTTCTTCAAACGTTTAACATTTGCGGTGAAATCTGGAACGTTTTCTCTAAGTCTGTATAGAATTCATCTTCTCCAATTTTCCATTTAAGCTTCAGTATATTTTTGCAACTCTTCCACTCAGAGAATATTGGTATATTTATTTATTAAAATATCATTAACTATGACCTTAATTTTTAAAGGGGTGGACCGATAAGCCAGCAGAAGGCCTTGGTCAGATGACCAAAAGCTCCACAGTCGGGTCATCATCTAAGACTCGCGTCAGGAAACACTTGCTCTGTTTCCTGACGGACCTTACGTAACCTAACCTAAAATATTATTATCTTTAAATAGACTGTACTTTAATTTATTTCTGTTGACCGGCAAGCCGTCGTCTGTGAGATAGTGACGAGCATGTTGGAAGGAGTAATTTGGGAAATTGAACGACTGTATTAGTTAGTTTTGACTCCTAGATCCTGTCTCCACTCTTAGGCATACTGTCGTATGCATTTCTCTTATATACACTACTCTCATACACACTTACACTCACCACTCTTATACACACTTATATAAATTATTCTTACACATAAATTACTCTCATACACACTCACGGTACTCTTATACATCTCTTATTCACACTACTCATATGTACATTTCTCTTATACTACTCTCATACACACTATATAAACAATACACCTATACACACTTTGCTTATATACACTACCCTCATATAAACTGCTCTCATATAAACATCTTGCCCTGCTGCTCCCTGCACAATGTGCCGTCACTCATGCAGATTTTAAAAGAGATGCAGACATTGATTTTCTTATCTTCCAGCAAGTTATGAAGACCATTTTTTTTATTTCCCAGGGAATAAAGCCTTTTAACTTTCGCCCTTCGGGAGTATAGCGATAGTTTTTTCCGCCGTTATTTCGACAGAATATTCGGTAGTTCACATAACCGTGTTTAGGTAGAAGGCTACCTGGAGTTTACCTTGAGAGGGTTTCGGGGGTCAATGCCCCCCTGCGGCTCGGTCTGAGACCAGGCTTCGTGGTGGATCAGGGTCTGATGAACCAGGCTGTTACTGCTACGTAATATCCTGCAGCTTGATTGGTCAGAATGGTAATTCTTTTCATAATATTTGATAAGAAAGGGTCAGAAATGTTAGTATATGTATGATTGGCCAGAATGTGATTCTCTGTTCAGAAACGTAATTACTTTCCATATTCAGACAGAATTACAGTCCCATTCTTCATGAATGGTAGTTCCCTTCTCTAAAATTGGTTCTGGCAACTACTTACTGCCATAGTTGGGGGATTTGGTAATGCTGAGCTCAGTTTTAGTATTAAGGGAGTTTTATGCCTTTTGTGTAGGATATGTTCAAGGTCCACCGTTAAGGTCGTGTCTCCTCCTTCCTTGCCTGACGTTGTGCTGTTCACTGCTGCTTTGTACATTATTGGTGTTTGGTGAATGGTTCATCATATTGTTCAAGAAAGCTGTTTGATTACTTTGTTGGTTGAAATGTTAGGTTATTTAGGGACTTGTTGTCAGTCACAGTATAAGTCTAAGTTGAGTCTTACTGAGACATAACGAGCATTATTGAGGACACACACACTCACACACACACACACACACACACACACACACACACACACACACACACACACACACACACACACACACACACACACATACACACATACACATACACACACACACACACACACACACACACACACACACACACACACACACACACACACACACACACAGAGAGGCTTCTGAGAGAGCTAGATACCTCAAAGGCGATGGGGCCAGTTAACATCTCTCCATGGGTCCTGAGAGAAGGTGCAGAGGCGCTGTGTGTACCCCTAACAACAATATTCAACATATCTATCGAAACAGGGAGATTATCTGAGGTTTAGAAGACAGCAAATGTAGTCCCAATTTTTAAAAACGAGACAGTGTCATTGACATGTATAGTATGCAAAGTCATGGAGATTATCAGGAG